CCTGCCGCTTCCCGTGGCCCGTGGACAATGTGAGCTGACAGGGAGCGCGGATGGGGACAGCGGCGCTTGGTGGGGACGCAGGGCCCCCTCTCCCATTGCTAGGACCAGCTGGGCAAGGACGCGGAGAGGGGACGACTCTTGGGGACATTCTGCGCTTGGGGACAGGAATGGCCCGGGGCTGCTGCACCAAGAAGGAAAGCCACGATGCACCAAGAACAAAAAGGGGCATCCCAAGGGGTGCTCCAGACCCTGGCACGGGGAAGGGGGCTGCTCCTCACCCCGCAGCACCCGGCCTGGCCAAGCAAGCCGGCTCCCCGGGAAAGACGGGGCTGACGTCACCGTCAGCGGTGCCAAAACGGCGGCACGAGGAATGCGGAGCGCCCGTCTCCCTCCCCGCTGAGTCAACGGCACCGAAACTCAGTGCCCGGCCCCAGCGCCCGCTGCCAGCCCACGGGTGCAGAGCCAGCGGTGCCGCCTTCGGATGTCTCCCAGCAGCTCCGCAGCCTCCGGAGCCGGCACTGTCAGCAGCTCTTCCTAAATCATCTCCATGCAGAGGCTTCAAGCTGGCATTGCCGGTCCCGCTTGCTTGGCGCACTCCCGGCTCCGCACCACGGGGCAGGATCAGCCCCTCGCCCTTGGCCATTCCCAAGAGGATGCTTCCAGGTTGGAGAGGTCTGCAGCAAGGAAGCGAGAGGCTCGGGATGGAGCCGGCTTGGGCAGATCCAGCAGTAGCTCCTGACCAATGTTCCCTTTGCAGGTTGTGGTCCCCTCTTCTCTGGTGCCACAGAGGGGAAAGATCCATGTTTCCAGTGCAGATAGGAAATATTCCCAGAAGAGGAAGCCAAAGCAGGAGCGTGGGAAAAAGCTGCATCCCAGACGAGGCTCTAAGCGACTCGGAGCCGGTTTGGTAGCGGCTCCCGGCGTGACCTGGGGCACCTCGTTCCTCCCACCCCGTGATTCACTTCCCACCGTGTTTCCCTGTCTGCCGGGGCGGAGAGCAGGCAGTGCCGGTCCCACAGGGCACGGAGAAGTGCCGGAGTCGTCTGGACTGAAAGCCATGTAGCCCGCGCTGGCTCTGGAGAGTGCAGACGGGATCATATCCCAGGGTTTTGCAGGATGCTCAGGAAAGCAGACCCAGAGCCTGGGCTGCCACTGCTTTGGTGTCACTGTGGTGCTGCCCGAGGCCAATGGGGCATCCCAGGTCCCCTCGGGTGTCACGAGGTGGCCAGCGGGGATGGCAGTCCCTGTGCCAGAGGTGCCGGTGCCCAGCACGGCTTGCAGAGCATCCCCGGCTGAAGCGCTGCCGGTTCCACCCAGCCTCTGGCGTTTGTGCCCATTGCCAAGGAATGCCAAGATACTCAGTGCTGAGACCGGGAATCAGAGCTGGGGGATCCCTTCTCCCCCTGGAGCGGCAGCAAGGGCTCTGGAGCATCTCCGGAGATGGTGCCGGCTCCTCTTCCTCGCCTCCGAGCGTGTCTCCGAGCAGCTCAGCGCCACCGGGATGGCCGATGCCCAACCACCCTCCCCAGGACCGCCAGCACGGGCTCTTCCCACATTGAAAAGGGCCTGGGATCAGCCCCCCGTCCCCGGCGCGGCGCCCGGCCCTACCTTGGCGGCCGAGTGCACGGCCGCTTCGGGCGGGTACACGATGAAGTGGCGCAGGGTGAAGCCGAAGCCACCCTGGGGGCTCTTCCGCAGCGCCACCGTCTTGGGGCCCACCCAGGGGAAGGGCTCCTCGGGGGGCGCGTTGGCATTCGGAGACGCCCCATCTCTCCGGCCCGGCGTCGCGGCCCGGCCTGGGCTGGGGGAGCAAGGAGCCACAGGTCACTCTGGTGACACCCGAGAAAGCCCCACGAGTCACCCCGAAAGCACCCCCAGAGCAGCATCCCCAGAGCAGCATCCCCAGAGCATCTGTCATCCAGCAGCTTCCATAGTGACATTTGCGGAAGAGGCACACCAGGAAAAAAAAAATGGGAAAAAAATGTGCTGCATCCAACCCTCCTAGTGTCACCATCCATAGGGATGAAGGAGCCACATGCCCCAGTTCTGCAGCATCTCAGAACCCGCAAGTCCATGGGATGGTGCCAGTAAAGTCTGGAGTGAGGGAGGGCTGGGAGACAGGTTCTGGCACCCCATGAAGGAACCGGGCATTTGAATGGGATCCAGGAGCAAGCGCAAGCTGCGCAGCCGTAGGAGGAGGAGGAGGAGGGCAGTTACACGGTAATAACCGGGAGCAACCGCGGGCGAGCCGGAAAGCGGCTGCCCGGGTCGCACTTGGCCGGGAGCCGCTTTCCAGAGCCAGGGCCGGGAGCTGGCACCAGCCGGGGCCCTGGCACAGGACACATCCTGGAGCGGGTCCCGCCGCTCCGCGCCCCGGGCTGAGCCGCCCCCTCCTCCACTTCCTCCTCCTCCTGTCGTGGGCATCAGGGCGGGCAGCAAGGGAAGGTGAAGGGACGAAGGAGGGAGAGACGAGGCCGGATCCAGGGGAGAGTCGGGAGCAGCGGGAGGCACAAAGGGACGGGGCACAAAAAGGCTTTGTCTGGCCCTCAGCTGCCGAGGGGAAAAGCCAGGGCTGGCAGCGGGAGTGGGGCAGTGCCCAGCATCACGGTCCCCAGCACCCCACAGCCCCGGTGCCCACGGGAGCAAATCCCCCATCTTCTCCCGCTGCGGGATTGCCATTTCCTGGAAGCGGGATCAGCAGCCCGGGAAAGTTGGTCCAGGGGAGTGATTTTCGTGGGGAAACTTGGTGGTTTTGCTTCATCCCATGACAGCAAAGTGGGGACAAGGGGCAGCCGTGGGCACCCACCTGGCTGTCCCGTGGGTGCCATGATGGGCCCTCCAGTCCTCGCTTTGCAGCCATGGTGGGAGGCACAGAAATGCCCCCATCCCCAGCACAGCCCCATCCTTCCTCCCT